AACTTCATTTGAGTATAACAGAACGTTGGAAGTTGTTTCAGGAATAAGGATAAGATTCCTCAGTTGTTGGTTTCTCTTTTTTTTATTTTAATTCGTTCTTAAAAAATATCTGTCCCTTTCCGGTATTCAGCTGTTTCACTAAAATCTCAATCATTCTGCTCTCTTTCATTACCAGAGAGCAAAATATAGATGAAAGCTTTAGAAATGGTTCTTCAAGTAAGCTTTAAACAAGAGCAAACTTACATCAGGACTTAAAAAATTGCTGGCAAGCTTGTAAGCAATCAAGCGAATCATTTAACAATTTCTTCATTCCTCTAACCTTTAATTTGCACAATCCTGGAAAACTTTTATCAGTTACAAATGATTACAAACAGAATCACTAACCTCACTGCATCAATGCATACATTTCTTATAGCAAGATCTTGAAAACAGATTTTGCTGCAATATCTATAACCTCTGCTGCAATATACCTCTACTTTTTCTAACCTATCCAATTCAAATACTGCCATATCATAGGAGAAGAAATTGGAGAAAATATCATTCCGATGATGAACCGGAAGTAATTGCATCAGAACGGCGATTAAACGTCCCCGTTCGATCTCTGCGCCTAGAACTGGCATTACTACTGGTTTCTCCTAGCAAAGGTTTCTCCATGTTGCTCGCTAATTCTCTTGTTTGCATAATATATCAAATAAAATTTATACACAAGGAGACAGAAAGAGTATTATAATAAGAGAGCAGGAGGAGGAGAGAGAGGTGGATGTGATGGTGTCAGTAGTGAAATAAAAGTGAGTGTACGTAATTTTGTTGCTTCTTTGTACGCTTTGTTACACATGGTGGTGATGGGTGCCCTACAGTTAGCGTCAGAAAAAGAGACTATTCCCTGATTTGAATAGACACCATTTACTTGTCTATTGATTGGATTTTGCAGGTTAATTAACAAACGAACCACTTCATAGAGGTATAAATCAGCGGACCTGGCTCCTAAGCTTTTAAGCTCAATTCAGGAAAAATTTTTAAAAATTCAATTCGGATCGAGCTCGAACCAGCTCATTAGCAAATGACCCGCTCATCGAATTTCAAACTGAACTAATTAAATTTTAGAGATCTGAATTTCAAGCTTTATAAGTTTTAAATTGGGCTCAGATTGTTTAAATTCCTAATTATAAGATTCTGGATTTGGCTTTCCTTGTCTTTTTCTCAATTTCCCAAGCAAAAAATAAGCATTAACGGAGGAATTAGAATTTTTTGTTGGGATTCGTCAAAGTGAATACGTGGTTGCAGACGTGGATTTGTAGTCCAAAAAACATGTATCCAATCATCAAATTATAAAAAATTAGTATATATTTATCAAGATTTAAAATTAATAAACAAATCTTCAACACATGTTCGATGGAAAACATTTTTATTTTTTATTTTTGGGGTAGATCACAAATGTGTCTAATTACTTGGACCATGAATGAGAAAGATATTTCTCCAGATTTCAAACATTTTAATAGAAAACTCAATTTACACTTTTTCTAAAATACAATTCTATTAAATTTTTATTTTCTTGAATGTATATTTCCTAATTCTGCAATGGACACCTAAATTTTTATCTTATTCTGTTTTTCATTAGTGCATAACAATTTGCTTATGCTAATTGTGTTCAACTTCATATATTCATAATCTTTTCCTTTTTCCTTTTCCTATTATACTGTTGCAAAATCTATTTTCAAGATCTTGCTATAAGAAATGTGTGCATTAATGCAGTTAGGTTGGCGATTTTGTTTGTAATCATTTGTAACTGATAAAAGTTTTTCAGGATTGTGCAAATTAAAGGTTAGAAAAATGAAGAAATTGTTAAATGATTTGCTTGATTGCTTACAAACTTGCCAACAATTTTTGAAGTTTTGATGTGTAAGTTTACTCCTGTTTAAAGCTTAGTTGAAGCACCATTTTTAAAGTTTTCATACATATTTTGCTCTCTGGTAATAAAAGAAAGCAGAATGATGGAGATTTTAGTGAAACAGCTGCTTACATTTACCAAAAATGAGGATTTACAAGTTTAAAAAAGAGTACAAGTGCAAAATAGGAGAAGGGAAAAGGAAAAGGTAATGAATATATTAAGTTAAATACACTTAGCATAAGCAAATTGTCATGCACTAATGAAGAAAGAATAACATAAAAATTTATGTGTCTATTGCAGAATTAGGAAATATACATTCAAGAAAATACAAATTTGATAGAATTATATTTCAGAAAATGTGAAAATTGAGTTTTCTATTAAAATGTTTAAAATATGGAGAAATTTATTTCTTATTCATAGTCCAATTAATCAGAGACGTTTCTGATCTACTCAAAATATAAAAAATAAAAAATAAAAATGTTTTCTGTCGAACATGTGTTGAAGATTTGTTTATTAATTTTAAATATCGATCAATATATACTAATTTTTTATAATTTGATGATCGATACATGTTTTTTAGACTGCAAATCCACATTCACAACCAAGTGTTCATTTTGACGAATCCCAATAAAAAATTCTAATTCCTTCGTTACTGCTTATTTGCGTGTGGGAATTGATAAAAAGACAAGGAAAACCGAATATAGAATCTCATAATTAGGAAGCCCAATTTAAAACTTATCAAGCTTGAAATTCAGATTTATAAAATTTAGTTAATTCAGTTTGAAATTCCATGAGTGGGTCGTTTGCTAATGAGATGGTTGGAGCTCTATTCGAACTGAAATTTTTAAAATTTTTCCTTAATTGAGCTCAAAAGCTTGGGAGCCAGGTCTGCTGATCTATATCTCTATGAAGTGGTTCGTTTGTTAATGAACCAGGCTTGATCTCGATCCGAACTCAATTTCTCTCCGGTTGAGCTCAAAGGCTCCGGCAGCCGGACCGCCGCCGTGCGCAGTGGCCGGGAACCGTTCTTCGTCGGATTTGAGCGATCCTCACATTTCCAGACTCGAAAATTCACGAGGAGTTCAAATCCGTGCGCCGTTCGTGCACCTGGTGAGCCGGTTGGTCGGAATCAACCTCGACAGAAACTTTAAGCCGTCGTTCATGGTGGATTTTGCAATACATGACCAGACGCCGGATTTTATGGATGGAAATCATTCATGAGGCGACTAGGTGTCGATCAAGACCATCTCCAGCACTTTAAGTTGACGGAACGGCGAGATTTTGTCGGAAAACCGAAGGAGTGAATGCTGTCGACGGAGACAGCGACACCGCAAGGGAGGAGGCTCCGTTGACTTGGAACTGGCTACGTTCGTCGGAGGGATGGCTGGAGTGGAAGTCGTTGCCGTCCGGAGCGTCGATCGCCGTCTTAGAACCGTGGCTGGCCTCTCGATCGGAGTGGGAAGGGCTGTCGCAGACGGAGAGAAGAAAGAAGAAAAAAGGAAAGAAAAAGGAAAGGGCTGGTTTGTAGACTATTTCGATTTGATTCGAATCGATTTGGTTCAAATCAGAGATTTGACTCGATTTTTTGCTCGGTTTATGGATTTTTCACTTGGTTTTCAGAAAATTCAAATTGATCTACAGGTCTAGTTTAGCAATAATAAAATATTTTATTGTATAATCTCATTGGTCGAATTTGAAATTTAATTTTTAAATGAAAATTTTACGAAATTAAATTTTCGGCTCATTTCACTACATATATATTCATCTAATTTTACATGAATCTTTAATATTTTGAATATTTTATAAAATAATTATATAATTTATCTAACAATAAAAAAACATTATTCAATTTATTATCCAATATAAACTAATCTCATAATTTACTATCCAATATAAATTAATCAATACAGAGGAAATCATTCAAAAAATTGAATTGAATTTAAAAGTTCAAACATATATGGCGGGTTGATTCGGTTTAAACGGCTTTGAGGCTAAAATTGTAAACTGAATCAAAAGTTTAGTTTTTAAATTTAATAAAATTAAATTAAACCATCAATTTTAAAAAATGCAGTTTGGATCAATTTGGATTGATTTAAATTCGATTTGGACGGTTTAAACGGTTTGATAAATACCCTATAAGTAAATATGGCATATAAATCTCGAACGTTAGGGTTACATCTGCTTCAGCTCTTATTTTCCTCTGTCCTCGGATTAAAAAAAGAAAAGAGAAAACCTTCGCGCGATTCTCCAGCTTGATACATGACATAAAGCTCAAACCTAGCCAGAGATTGACGAGAGATTAACCCACAATGGTTACAGTCAAAAAGAAAGAAGGTAACTGCTTGGTACCTTCTCAATCTGCGGTCTTTTTCTTAGTTACGATAAACATTGATGTGCTGTTTTCACTGAATTTGTTTCTTATTGCTATAGTTAAACGAATTTTTATGCAAAATTTTAATGTAATTCTGATTTTATGACATGATAACAAGTTCGCTGAGTTATTAGATATTCAATATTTTATTGTTTGGCAGTTAAGGGTTACCTCCTGCTGAGATCCGGATTTGCAGCAAAAGCATTAGCCAAAATTACAAATGAATTTCATGAAGATAATAAAATCGGAGATTTTCAATTTGGTGAAATTTATCGGGGAACTTCTCGCGAAGAAGAAGTCACGGTGAAAATATGGAGAGATGAAGGCAAATATGAAATGCGCCCTGGCGACAATCAAAGTCGATTTTCTGTGAGTTCTTATGATTAGCTTAAGCTTTTACCACATGTTCTGTAATTTGAAGGAATAATTCATTTTTAATTTACATAGAATTTGATTTACATACCTTCAAATTGAATTATTTTCTGTGAGTTCTTATGATTAGCTTAAACATTTACCACATGTTCTGTAATTTGAGAAGTGAATTCATTTTTAAATTGCATAGAATTTGATTTACATACATTCAAATTGAAGAAATTGGAGTCAAATAAACATTTTGATTCATTTTAAACAAAGATGAAAACTTTTAACTTTCAAATTGTATTTCTTAGCCAACTTATATATAATGTTATTGTATGGTATATTTTAATGCTACGTCCTAATTTTATAGGATGAAACTCGTTTGCTCGAGCATTTCATAGAAACTGAGTCTCATCCAAGCTTGGCAAAGTTGCGCGGAGTCTCCACAGATTCCAAAATTCTGGCCATTGTATATCACCTGAAGACAATCAATTCAGTGCATAATCTCCTCGAAAAAGGTCATTTTTTATTCAGTTACTGATTACTGTTTATCAGAATTTCTTTCAGAATTTCTTTTTTTTTTTTTTTTTTTTTTTTTTTTTTTTTTGCATTAAAGAAAAGCTTGTTTGCAATTTTCCAGATAGTTTTAACTTGGGATTTTTTTTTTTTTTTTTTTTGCATTAAAGAAAGCTTGTTTGCATTTCCAGATAGTTTTACTTGGGAACAGAGGATCAAGGTTGCTCTTGGATTTGCTTCCTTACTGGAATTCATGCATGCTGAGAATCCTCCATATATGCCATGTCTGATTCGCAATATACATGCTGCTCATATATTGCTTAATGAGGTCATTGTCTTTCTTCTATTTCCCTTTTGGATTTGGAAACTTGTTTTCTCTCTAAAATGTTTTATTGACAGTTCTATAACATCTAGAGTTTGTTTTGACTTGTAGGATTATAAGCCAGTGCTAATTGACTACAGTATGCTTTCTGGTGGAATTCTTACTGATAGAAGACACATTGTGAATCAATATCTAGAAGGGTGTCACGGCTATGTTGATCCAGTTGTTGCACATCGAGGTACTTCTTTTTCCTTCTATAGCCTCATAAAGGTTAACATCCCATAAGAGCAAAAATTTCTTATGTTGAGATGCTTTATTATTTACCCCTCATCTCATTTGCCTGGCTTCTGCATGTGATTGCTAAAAATTATAATTCACTCTCTGGCTGTATGCTAGCATGCTGGTATATATGGTGCAATTTTCTTATTGCTGCTGTCACACTGAGTTTCATCTTAACTTGGTTTTCTTTTTCTTTTTTTTTTTTTTTTCCTGCAATATTATTATCAAGTAATTAGTTGCTGAACAATAGAACCAAAGCAAGAGGGGTCACAACTTAAGAAATTTTTATGGGAGTTACTTGTTAGTGTTGCATGTATCAAGCTAAAGCTTGCAAACTCCAGAGAACTTGTGGTTGTGAAACCTGAAAATCTTTGGTGCAAACCTTTCTAATGATGCTTGTTTAGATAGATATGTGATTTTATTATTATGCACTATTTAGTTTCGAACCTCGGGGCATGTCTTAACTATCTACATAAATTTCAAGGAACAGTCCCATCCAATGGTGTCGGCATCAACTATGTGACTGTACTGCTTGTATCGATTTTTTGTAGGACAGCCATTTCAACAAAATAATGATAAAAGGAATTTCGTAATCCCTGTGATTAGGCCACTCGCTGAAACTCTTGTTTTAATGCCTTCAGATCTTCCGAGCCAACCTTTGTGCAATGTAGGCCTATATTTCTTTTGACCAATCTAAAGATCTCGCCATTGAGATATCATATGCATTGGTTGTCTTTATATGTCGTTGTAGTGTCAGTTCAGTTTCTATTTTTGCAATCTTTGATCATATTAGTCGCCTTGACATCTGCAGGTGAATGGTCAGATAAATCTGACGTTTTTTCATATGGTGTTCTACTGTTGGCTTTGATAAGCAAAAGAATCCCCGAAGAAGAAAGTGAATTGACCGAGAATAAACATAAACCACAAAACTCAATGATGAGCTTTAGTGAGCACAAATCTTCGGTTGTGCATCAAAGCCTAGAGTTCGAACCATATTTTTATTCTAGTGATGGAGTTAAAGTTGC